GGGCCAAATTTTGGAATAGGATCGAACTTTTTGTTTCGATAACTCTCCTTTTCTAACTTGTTAACAATAAAAGGCATACATATTTTTTAAAGTCTATCTGGATACATATTATATTTCTATTTGCTTCTCCCTGTGCTACCTTTTCAGGTGCTAGCGCCCACGATTCAACAGCCAGCTTGTCAACACCAACTAACCGAAGCTGCTCGCGAGGTCGCCTGGTCCGTAGATGGTTTGGTCCAGGCTGCCCGGTTTGCAGGTCAGGAGGCCACTGTTACCAGACAGACGGTCGACGGACTTATAGAGCCTTCGATGGCAATCGCCGTAGTCGAGACCGAGGAAGCTGCCACTGAGGTGCGCAATGCGCTTGACCAGCTGCATTCTCATCTGATCCGGGGTTCGATCAAGGTAGGCACTTTATCCTTATCCATCTTGTATCCTGCCGAGATACCCCTTAACTACTTAAGTGGTCTCACCTCATCTCATCCCATCCCATCTCATTTCATCTCAGTCTAATTAGAATTGTAATATTACTTTGTGGCATGAAACCCAACTTCTCTTCATATTCCAGTAATATTACTTCTCACCTAAAGACAAAACGCTTTATATGGCTTTGGCCATTTCAATTTATCTTTGCTTCTCTCTGGAAATTGAGACAGGATTGCTTATTTATGCGGCGAAGTCCTTATAAATCGAAATGTTATCTTAAACTACTAAGTCGTAACTTCTACATTTTATCTAACTCCATCTAGCCTATCGTTGATTAGTCCAGACGTCATAGATTTAGACTTGTTTTTCCTACATTGTGCCTGCCAGGAAAATTCGGGTTCCGAGGACTATCCTGATTTATACTCATTGAGGTCATTTCTATTTTGAGTGAAAGTGTTTGATGAAGAGATTCGAGAGTCGATCTCACCAGATGATCACGGCAGATCCTTCTTTTTCAGCTATCGATTAGACCATTACTGGAAGATTCTTGTTGGCACTACTTTCGAGGCAATCTCTTTCGATTCCAGTGAAAACGTACTAAGCTTTCGTGCATCATATGATGTACATCATATGACGTACATTCAAGCTATCGAATCAAGAAAACTCACCTGTTTATCCATAAATCCTGTCATACGATGGACGAAATCCTAGCATGCCTTCACCGGAATCGAAGGAGATTACCTCAGAAACAGTTTTAACAAGAATGTTCCAGTAAAGCCAATTGACAGTTAATCAAGGGGATCCATTTTCGCATCTCTTCACCAAACACTTTCACTCAAAATAAAAGTGAGCTCAACAATTAGGTTAACCTTGTTTGCTCGCCAATAAAAGCATAACCATCATGCTCAGGAATAACTTTATCACCAAATACACACGAATACTTTTGCAACAGTAATAGCAATTCACTCAGCCTGACAATACTTTAATTAAGGCTTGGTTCCGGATCAGTTTGAGTAGGCCATTTAATAGCCTTTCCAACTAAGTGAGTGGATCAACCACAGTTAAGGCTTGTCATTTTAATTCTGTATAATTTTTTAAGTGTTTTTTCATTCCTACATATTCAACCTAAGTGTACGTGCTCCGAAAGTCATAGCTCTCTTAAGTATCATTCTCATTTGTCCTTATTTTTTTACTACACTTGCACATTCTTTGCCAAAATTTCGTTGACTTTCCCACCTTAGTTCTTTTCTATACTTTCCTTGAGTAATATCCTTTCACTTTGGCGGCATTCCTCAGGCGGGTCAATTTTTATGCGGCACTGCTTCATTTCGGGATATGTCTTAATTGTATCTCTTAGCCTGCTTTAATTCTGAAAGTTCCCTCAGGGATCGTTCGTCAATCAAATTCTATCGTTATTTGATTGTCATTTCAGATAATTAACTGATTTACCTGACCTCCATGGATCGAATACAGGACTGGACTCTTCTGATTTTATTTTTCCGTTTCTCTTAATAGCAAGCTTTTATTTATAATGTTTTTTCGACTCCAAATCCATCAAGGTGTACTTTACTTCGGACCGTTTGGATCCATACCTCGGTTTTACTTAATTAAAAACATTAAAAATTGTTTAGCAGACAATTTTTTAAAGGATCGGCTTTACTTGTATCTTTGGTCAGTTGTAATGTGGTGCTAAGACTGGCAATGCTGACTGACGATGCCGACTACAATCAGAGCAAAAAATCTGGGAAAGTACCACGTCCACTGTCAGACTCTGGAAATGATGATGCATTCAATGGACTCCTGACTAGGTGCGTTCCTCTAAGTCTTCCTGCCAATATGACCAAGTTGCGAAAACAAGGTCAAGCAACTTATATACAGCAAAAGAAGACGGCGACCATACAAAAGGACACACCGTTTTGGCTTTCATACCTTTGATTTAAAAATTCAGTTTTACTTGGACATATAATTCTTTTGATCGAATCCTTTTGCATAGAGCATATTGCTCAGTTTTTGCAGATTTGGGCTTTCAAGTTGATTACCATCTATTGAAATCACTTCTGTTTTGAGTAAATGTATATGATTGAGAGATTCTTAAGTTGCTTAATCAGAAGTCGGTGGCGTATTCCTCTTGGCAAGATCTCGTTCGCTTTTACTGGAATGTTTTGGTTGACGCAGTCCTTAAAGAAATTTTATTCGGTTCTGACGAAAATGCGCTAAGTATCGTATAATATTAGAGTTAGATGTCCAGCTATGACTAATTAGAGCTAACTAGTCTAGGAAGCTTGAAGTGTTAATGAGAATTGTGCCCATTTCTGTCATATGATAGACCACAAGAAGTTTGCGACCAGGCAGAAGGCCACATCACTTTGGTCTTCATATCTACAGACATCTTAGAACTTTCACTTCGGAACCGAACTAGATTGCCGCTAGGACTGTGCCAGCTAAATGTCCCAGTAAAACCAGACGACAGCTAATCAAGTGAACTCCGTCATCATACTCTGGTAAGATTTACTCTTACAGCTTTAAATCACGAGATTTTACTTCAAGCAGAGTAGAGTTGAACAATTTAAAATCAAATGATACAGAGGAAAACTACTTTTATTTGTAAATTCTATCTGACCATTGGGGTTTGCTGAGATCTCGTATTTACCCCAGCCGGCATCACTTTATGCTTAATTACTCATTTGAATCGTGTCTTCAGATTTTTGATATTCATGGAGCCAGGCACTACCTGGACACTTGCGTATCCAAAGACTATCCTTATTTCAATTAATCTCTTGGGATAATATTGTTGGGCTGACTTTATTTCGCGCGAAAGTACCTGATAAACAGGTTGATAGGCCAATTTTACCAGAAGACTATGACCGATTCCTGTTATACAGTCATTTGAATTTACTTCGACGATCAGGCTGACACAGTCCACAAGTCATCTTTCCTCGTTCGTGCGAAAATGGGCTGTGCTTTACTTTTGCACATGGTGGATTTCATCAAATCTAGAGCTCATTTTTGCAAAGGCTTCAAGTTAACCCAACTTCCTATCATAATTCGGTATTCTCATTGTTTTCCCTGATCCCTTAATTTCAGTGGGCTCTTATATCTTGCGGTCGGTAGACGAATTAACAAAATCAGCAAACTGGTGTGTTTGAGATCATTCTATCTCGTGTCTAGTTCCTACTCTATCTTCAGCCACTTCTGACTGCTTCAAGGTCATACTGTTATAGGATTCAGCGCTGCTGCGGTCGCCCTTGTTTTAATGATACCTCTCGACCTGCTCATAAAATTTTAGCTGGTCAAATGCTTGTAAAGGCTGAACACGGGGCAGAAACTGAACACGAGATTGCATGGTCTCAAACGCATCCGTTTGCTCATGTTTTTTTCCGCTATTAAACACAAGATAAAACAGACAATTAAACTAAAAGGAATAGGAAATATTTTGAATGTAGATTGGAATTTGAATAAGAAATACTTA